GAAAAGCATATTTGGCCACTTCAGCTGCACATTTTGAAACTGAACAAAAAGAGATCACTTTAGCTTGTCTCCTCTTCTGCTTCCGCCCTCTTCCCTCATCCGGCTCATTTTTCTCCCTCACCACTTTTCAAATACCCCTGCATGCATTTGCAAGTAGTCATTCATGCAAAGTGAATGGATTCGACGGATCAAACCACGACCGCCTATCCGTCCAGTCGTTGTGAAAGAATCAAATTTGAAATCCATTGCTCGGCAGCTGTAATATCATCAGTTTAATTTTGTACTTGCAATCAACTACCAGAACATACGGAAATTCGGAAGATGATCTCACGATATCCGCTCAACGCAGTACAATACACTTGACTACTAAAGACTCAAATTTGACGTGTTTGTTCTCCAGTTAGTAATATTAGCTGGATTTTAGTTATAAAGGCAAACATTTAGAAATCGTAACCAGAGTTCTCAGATTTCAAGAAAGGGTAACATGACAAATCCGAACAGGAGTTAAAAAATAGAAAATAAACTGCCCAGTGTGACATTTTTTTAAATGAAAATTTTTCGCTCACATGTTTGCATTCAAAATCAAATCTGAAAAGTCCGGTAGAATAATCCGGGAAGGAAAAAAAAAACAACTTACAGAGTAACGCTGAAGTGACCTACACATTATTTCAATTGATCGTTTTGGTGTATCCGGTCTGTAAACCGGCATTTACGAATTTATTTTCATTAAAAAGGAACATGTGAAAACTGCGCCTCAACATATGCAGCAGACTATTATCTTTCTCTTGTTTCATTTCCAGAACTGTCAGGCAGGTTTCTTCCCAAGGCAAATCCTTCACCAGACCCTTGACTGATCCTTCAAAGGTCCTTCGGCAGAACCTTGAGAAAAATCGAATTAATTTGTCGACAAAGCCAACAAATTAAGCAGAACGGCTAGCAACTTAACAGAGGATTCGTTACTGCAACCGACAATAAATGCGCATTGCACATATTTTTCGGTTTTCACAGTGCTGATGGTGCCACCAAACATTTTTGTTAATAAAAAATGCAAATAAACTAGCATTTGAGAAAGAAAAAAAAAACTGAAGGAAGTCAGGAAGGAAATTTCGCTTATAACTACCTGTTCAAAATTTAGCATACTTAATCTACGTCCTTACCTCTTTTCCTCACCTCCATTACTCCCTCATTTCCTCATCCTACACTCGATCTGGGAAATCGCACTCATCTGTGGAGATTTCGATCCCCAAAAAAGTCGGAACGCAGATTCTAACTTCCTTAAGAAATTCTATTCTCACTAAAAAAACTGCACTGGAACCACTCGCTAGCGGCAAAATTGTAGAAGGGAAATGAACCTAGGAGACCTATTGTCCAACAGCACACGCGAGCCTTGCCACAGAAAAAAAAAGGATTTATCGACACAATCTGAAAATATTACGAACCTAAGAGGTCCTCGGATTGCAACAGTCGTTCCGTGGATATGATGGATAGGGTCTGGAGCATCGAGGCAGGTTCCGAGTCTCCTAAATGAGGGAAGCATTTCCTGGAAAGCAGGAAAAAATGGATCCTGCTCATTAGAATGAAGGAATCTCGAGTCCTGCTCCGCGCATTTCTCGGCGAATCTTTGAGCGATTTCTGAAACCGAACCAAAAATAAATAAACAGATCAAAGTGGACCTATTTCTCAATTTCAGCCTAGCACCTGAACCCAACAAGATAACCAAAATCGTGCTGAGTTCTTCGCAAAACAAAGAAAGAAGGGGTTATGAGCCTGCTCATAATGCGAGTTTTTCGCATCCGTAGATGAACACATTCGATTAATGCAACTGCTTGGGGTGACTTTCTGCGAGAAGCAGTGAGTAGCAAAGTCCACGCCAACTCTCGGATCTTTAACGCACAATTGCCAGTTCCAAACTTTTTCTGTGCCTAGTGGATACTTCAGCCGAGTGACCCTTTCCCCGTCCTCGTTCTCTGTGTCTTCAACTTTGAGCTCGATTTCTTATGTTCTTTGAGTTTCTCCATCAGCTCGTTCGCGGGGACCTTGCTCGTTTTCCTGATGAAAAAAGCGCCTTCCCCCAAACACAGTTAACTGAGTAAAGTGTCGTTGACTTTCAACAGTTTTTTTCAAGTTTAGTCTGCGAAGCCTTGGAACAGTCTGTGAAAAACATTAGCCTCTTGAGCTTGGGATGCTATTGCAGACAATCCCACTGGTCAAAAGCAATCGCCTATCCTCCCATTTTCGACAGCTTCGACATATTTAAACTCCAGTTATTTCTCTGAATCAGCTGAGCATTCAGGATCGAATATTTTTTCGTAATCGACAAAGCTTGCATATCTTTGCTGTTAAGACTAACAAGACCGCTCTGACAAACGACATCCCAGGTTAATGACGCAACTGATTCCACACGTTGAGTGCAGCTGCATTTAGATCCCTCGATTCCAAGCTGCATACCTCCGGCTAGTATCTGTCCAGCATGTGCGCCATCTCTTCGGGGATCACTCGAGTTGTCGTTTACTTTCTTCGAGTGTTTCTCATTGATACGTAACAATCACCAGTCGCCAGCAAAGTTACGAAGATGACTTCCTAGCCGATTTTACTTTCTTACGTAATATCCTTACCTTTCATTTAACGGAGAGTTTGACCACAGGTGTAGCATGGTCGCAGCGTAACGGCACTTTGCATTTCGTTGCTGTAACAGTATAAAGTTGAATGTTTTACCTCGCTTCCAATAGGGCTGTGCCGGATGGGATCGGTATTCAGCCAGATCGACAGTATGGCGCAGCAAAAAGCGCTTGTTGCCAAAGTAGAAGGTCGATAATTGGCGATAGTCCATATTCGCTCTGCAATTCAGCATTCATGAAGCTCATTTTTGAAGTGTTTCACATGAGGTTTTGATGAGTATTCATGATCCGGCGATCTCCGATACTTTAATAAAGCATTTTTTACTTTGTCTTTCTTGAAATCGTAGCACCAATTTATCGTAAAAGTGATTCATTTCCTTCTATTAAACTTAATGAGTCTGCAAACTCAGCCCGAAGAGTTAAAGAGGGATCCACAAGCCTACCGGACAATGCGTCACGATGTCCTCAGTTTCATATTCTTGAAAGCTGTTTTTCTGGTGCAAAAGCGCGAATTCAATTCTCGTTTCCCCTCCCACTGTCCTAGAAATTAGATTCCAGAATTTAATCCCGAACTGCTCAAAGGTTTCAAATGCTTACGATTCACTCAGTGATAAATTACGCCTTTTTTATTTTGCAAATCTTTAGCTTTCTTATGTCTCCATATCTCATTATGTTTCGAACCATGCTATTTAAAGTTGGTCCTTAAAGTCAACCTACGGATTTTTCAACTCCTGAAAAAAAGACATCCAGCGTTTATAGAATCGTGCTGCTCGCTTTCAATCGGATCGCTATTGAAACATACCGGCCCGTTAGAATGTCAAGTGCACCCTGGATGTATGTCTTGAACGGGCGAGCATCTCCATAGGGCAGGTCCTGGATAAATATCGTATTCCCAAT